ATTTCACTCCATTTGAATATGTATAGCAACCTCTATGAAAAAGACAAGTTGCTAAAGCAAGAAATCATGTGAGAGCAAGATAAACCAATAACTCACTCATACTTTATCCAATACTCATGAAATTTTTACCACACATCAACTATCACATGATTAGCATGCCACAAAAATTTCACTTCATTTGGAGCCCTAGATCTACAGTTATGAAAAAGACAAATACCACTAGCATTACAAACCTAGCTGCATAAATATATTTTTACAGCTAAAACTTTAAAGTAAAACATGTAATATTATAGATCTATTGCATAGAGAATTTCACAAGGATTCCAAAAAGTCCTCATTTGCTATTTTACGAATTTCCTATGAATTACTATGAATTTCCAAAGATTCAGCAAATTTATCGCAAATAGGTCCTTATCGGCACTATTCATCCGAGTCACCGACATTGCAGCTAGCTAGGCCCTCGACTTACGTCGAATTCTAGTAAACAGTCCTCGACGGGATCGGGGAAGCGAGAGGAGGCCTTGTGGCTCGTCGGTGACGGTCGAGGGGGGCTCTTCGGCGATGGTGGAGGGCGGCGAGCACCGGAGGCCCACGCCAAGACTCGGCCAAGTGGCCTCGGCTCGGCCCGAGGTGGAGCGTGGAGCCCAGCCACACGCGCTGGCGGCCCACACAACAAGCGGCTCCGATGGTCGGGCTGTCTCTGGCGGTCTCCCTTCGGCCGAGGATCGCTGGTCGGAGAGGAGAAGAAGGCGGAGGCGGTGGTTCGCGTGGTTGGTCATGAGGGGCTCGGAAGCTAGGGAACGGCGGCGACGGTGAGCTCGGCCCACGGCCATGGTGGACGACGCCCGCCACAGAGCGGAGCGAGGAGAGAGCGAGAGGAGCGGAGCAGGAGTGGAGAAGGGATGGAGAGCTCGGCTGGGGCTCACGGTTATCCGTGACGGGCGCAGGGCACGCGGCATGGAGGGGGGGCGCTCGGCTCGCATGCATGGTCGCCACGCCACGCCACGCAGCGTCGGCATTTTGATGAAAGCAGGTGGCGAGCGCGCGATCCAACAAGGTCTTGGAAGCCATTTTTGGGCTGGTTCGGTAGGGAATTTGATGGTGGGCCTTTAACGAAGTTTGATCTCCATCCGATGCTCTACAAATTTTGTTAAAGGTTCATAGCCATTAGAGCAAAGGATTAAGAGATAAATAGGCCCTAAATTTGACACTGTCAATGAATTAATGTCGATCAAAGTAAAGCTCGGTTTTTGTTCATTTTGGGAAGTCAAACTTGGTCCAATTGATCCCATCTTTGGGTATCCTCTTCTCCAAATAATTATCTCCAACTTTTATTTTTGGACCAACTCAAGTTGCTTAGCAAAATTTGGAGAACGCGGAATGCCAATAGCGACGACGATGAATTCTAGACTTAGAAAAATTCTAAGTCTGAAAACAGCCGCTGATTCAATTTTCGAGCCTCTGTTTGACTTAGTTCCAAGTTGATCTGGCTCTTGCTCCAAAAACAAAGTTTGTTCTACTCTACTCAATCTTCAACTTTTATTTAAGGTGCAACTTCAAAACTGGTATAGAACCTACTGTTCTACTTTGACCAAAGTAGGATTACGATGAAGCTTAAATTATCCTTTTTGATCCATTGGAGCATTTTCTAGCCACCTGCTCAACATGAACCCTTCATAACTTTTGTTCATGAGTGCAAGTAGAGTTGTTTGAGCAAGGTACCAAGTTTTGGTTGACTTCATAGGTTTCCATCCACTTGATAAAGCAATTCATGCCAAGATATGACTTATCATTTCATGTGACTTTTTGATTCCAAACTTCATGAAACTTTTCCACGGGTCTAGATGGATGCATGGGGATGTAAGGTACATGGAATAAGCATGTTTAACATTACTCTTGCATAATCTTAACAAGGGTCCATATGTAAGCAATGTGCGTGGCCCAAGTTTAAGTTGGAGCTCCATCATGTAAATTTGATCTTGACACCTTGATTACCACTTGACATGTCATGTTTGAGCTCAAACCTATTGCTTAACTGATGATAAACACCTGGGGTGTTACAGTCGACCCCCTGTCCCCACCTTTTAGTCTCCCACGAGACGAGGATCCTCCCGACCTTGAGGATCAATAACAACCATGCTTCAAAGTTGGCTCATAATGGAGGGTCGAGATAGAGCCGTGCCATGGATTTATGGGCCATAGTGTGTCGGGTGCCCCTATAAAAGGATCAGATTAAGGAACACGGTGGCGACATATTCAAGCTGGCTTCAACAAGCCCTGGTGGAACTTGCCGAACCTCGCATCGAGGAGCGCCATGCCTACGATTTGGATTCTCCTGAGCGCGCCTTTGTGATCTCGCCTTTGTGATCTCGCCTCCCGATTCATCGGGATGATCACCCACGGTGACGAAGAGATGACCGAGGTCCCGAAAGAATGGGAGGATGTTGGTGACAAGTAGCCCATTATCGATCTTGATGATATCGACTACAATTAGTTCCTCCTCGAGTTCCTGGACCCGGACGAGGAAAAACCCAAGGAAAGGGACGCTGAGTCCTCGAAGCAACTCGAGTGCTACATGAGCGTGCAAGACCCAGAGCCACCTCGGGAAGAACTAAAGAAGCTTGCACTCGATTGTCCTACTCTCCTAGCGGGTGATGTGACCATCCCCAATGCTACTTATGAGATCAGCGGTGAAGTCTGCCTATGCCTGCTTTGCTAGAACAACATGCTCGAGACGGAGAACAATCATCTTTGCCAGCAACTCGAGCAATCTTCTGACATATAGCAGACTCAGGTGCCGATCACCCACCCGATGAGCAACCAAAACTTGGTCAATTGCTTCTAGGGAACGGTTAGGTTACTCTAATCGGCTGCTAGGGCTGGACAGAAAATGTTCACGACCACTCGAGTGTCGCCTACAGATTAGGAGACTCACGAAGCGAGCCACGCATTGGCATTGCGCGATCGCTAGCAACGCCCCTCAGGGGCAAAGGGTACGTCAGCCAATCGGAGGGCCAAGCACCCACCGACCTGAGCGTCGCCCTAACCCGATCCACGATCAACTGGGAAGAGATTAGGATGCAAGCCTGGTCATTGACATGTGACGGTAGGAACACGAAACTCGCAATCCCACATACCAAGCAGGCAATCCTCATCCTATGAACATCAGTGGCAAGCGGGACCGCTTGTTCTGGAAGCATGGTCAACCATCAGTGACCCTCAAGTATGTTATCCCGAATGCCATCCCCGATGACCGCAACAGATAGGTTTATCATGACATGTTCGAACAGATCATGAATAGTCCTTATCGGAACCATGGTTTCCCGTGACCCACCTCACCAAAGACTACATCGCCTGTAGGCTACGCGTCGCTCTGGAAGACCAGAGGTGCTCGACGCAGGGTGGATATCGGGGAGATGGCGATGATGATGAGGGGAGCGATGCAACCGCTGGATGTGCGATGCTCATATTCGGCGACCCCCAGGCCTATCAAGATCGAAGACTCCAGAAGCTGACCCACAGGTAGGTCTACGCGGCTGCACTGGCTGCCCTGCTATATCTATGCTAGTCCGAGCGGTTAATAATCCTTCCCATCCATGTTTTTTGGGAAAATGAAAAAATCCATCTCCAACAACTTTCAAACTCACCTTCCAATCTTTTGGCACTTGGGAAAAAAACCCTTGCGCGTAAAGATCTGTAGAGTCTAGGTCTCGCGTATCCTTCTTTCCCCACGTTGGGTCCTCCTTGGCGCGACACGGAGCCCCAGCAGCAAGCGTGGCAAGCGGACACGCGTGGAGAGGGTGGCGTGGAGGACGCCAAAAGGCGTGAGGGAGCGCTCTACACTACCACGCTGCTACAGTATCGCCGCAGCCACCCTAGCGAACGCGGTGGAGCCACCGCTGGCCTTCCCCGCGCGAAGCCGAGTGCTCTCACGGGTGAGCGGTCCCCAGCATGCCTCTACGCCACCCCTCACTACCGACGTGGCCCTCATGGCCGGGATCGACAGCTCTCTCTCGTTCGCGCGTGCTCTGTTGTGAGCTTGAGAAGAAGGGAGTGGGAAAGGAAAAGGAGGCAAGACAAGGTTCCAGGTGAGAAAAGCACAAGAGAGAAATATTTGGCGGGAGGGTTTAAATGGGTATAGAAACAAATTCAGGGTTTCTGATGCAAAACAGCACAAATCCTAGGACTAGGTCGCACGGAAAAAAGGAGTGCCGTAGAAAAAAATCTATGTTTTTGGGATAAAAATATTGGAAACTTTTGGATATAGCCTTCTTTATTCCTCCCAATACTTTTTTGGGATTTACAAAAGTTTATGTTTTTTTGATAAAAATATTGGGTACTCTTGGAGATGCTCTTATTACTGTAATTGATTTTGTAATATAAAAGTGACATTAGAGCATCTCCGAGAGTTCCAACAATTTTTTCCTAAAACTATAGAGTTTTTAAACACGATAAAAATTATTGGGATAAATAAATAAGACTATCTCCAATAGTTTCTAATAATTTACTTCTAAAATATATAAGACAATTTTACATCAAGAATCGTATACTATTTCTAAATTATCATAACCACTTTTATATATTCTTTATCTCTTATACATTTACACCAAAAACCCTTTCGAACTCTTTATTTCTGCCCACGTCCTTCCACCTTTGGTTTGGCCACGATCATTCTATTTTTCCAAGCACGGAAAGATCGGGAGGTGGGATTAAGAAAAGTTGGAGATGAATTTTTTTTTCATTCTTGCCAAAAAATTCTAGGTTGGAAGGTTTTATTGAGAACTCTAGAAGATGCTTTTACTAATTTTATATTAAAGTTTTACTTTCCTTCAATTTATGAGCATGATGCTTCATTAATTTTACACACGTTTCCTGTTCTGCCAAAAATGGTAAGAAAATATAAAAAAAACGGCTGCGCCCTTCTTTAACCCTTTACCTCCTCGGCTCTTCCCCCCTCCCCGCCCAGGGGCGCTCAGGCATCGCGGAGAGAACCCACAACGATGCCGCCGCCGACGGGCGCTCCGCATTCCCCGCCGGCTGCCGACGGCCGCAAGAAGCCGGCAGTCGCGACGTGGCGGGTGTGGTCGGAGGCGGACGAAGTCCGCATCCTCGAGGGCCTCGCCGCGTACGCCGCGGCCCACGGCGCAGAGCCGCGCCGGTCCCAGCTCCGCGCCGCGCTCGACGGCTGCGGCCTGGACAAGTCCGAGTTCACCGTCACGGAGATCTACGAGAAGGTGCGGCGGCTCCGTATCAAGTACGCGAACCTGCGCTCCTCCGGGGGCGTGCCGGTGCCTGCAGGCGGCGATGAGGCGCGCAAGTACGAGCTGTCGATGGCGATTTGGGGCGACCGGCCGCTCAATGTCCCCAAGAAAGTAGGCGCAAGCCGTGCTACCAACGCCAGTGCCAATACCAATGCGGCGCCGCGGCCAGGCACACGCGTGCGCAGAGGGGTCGAGGAGCTGCAGGGCCTGTACCCCAGCCTTGCCTTGGCAGTTGAGGGGATCACGGACGACGAGTCACTGCGGCCAATGCTCAAGAGGGCCTTCCAACTTATCAGCGACGAAAAAGCACGTGAATTGGATGCCAAAATGAAGAAGCAGATGGCTAAGGAGGTGCAGATGACGTTGAACCAAAGTGCTTTGAGGAACCAGGTACTTGACGTGCTTATCAGATCCATGGATTGACAAGGCTTCATCAGCGGTGTTAAGTATGATGGGTAGGTATATATATATATCTCTTTTGTGGGAAATGAACTCCGGAGGAATTAATTAATCACGTTCACTGTCGCCTAGTAAGTTTATATAGACTCTAGTAGGAGGAGATGGATGACGATTTTGTTTTTGGTGTCATCAACCCTTTAGTATGAGTGTTCCCGTGTGTCAATGTCAATGGCAAAACACTGGCAGCATGGCTTATGTCCTAGAAATACATGTTTTAAATATTTAGCTAAAACTTCTTATACTAGTAGTTGGATAGTTATTAAATTAAGGTATAGTACTTTTTTTTGTGTGTCATGCAGAAAGATATACTTTACAAATCTAGGGGTCAACTTCACTCCTATTTCCCCTTAATACATTAGGCAACACGCTGGTGTGTGACCCTGTTAAGTTCTGTGATTATGAGCTTTTGGAATTTATCCTTTTGTCCTTATAAAAAAAGATTTTTTCCTGCCTTTACAATCAACTCAAAACTCAAGACTGGACATCAAAATGTTTGTATGGGGTACTTCTAACATAACACTCGGAACAGCAGTGTGTCATTGTATCACTCTGAATAATGCACACTATGAGAGATTGCTCTAAACAGCATAACAGCCATTGTAACACCAAAATGTTTTGTCATGGTACATTTATGGTATTCTGAACTACACGATGCTCTTTAGAGTGACATTATGATATAACCCGATGCTGGGATACACAGATGACAATACCAGATCTATCCTGGAAGCACAGAACAGTAATACAAATACTAATTTAACTACATGCCAGCATGAATGTCAGGTTCTTATTCTGAAACAGAGTGGCTATCAGTTTGAGTCTGAAACTGAAAACACCTCTTCGATGGTGGAAAATGGCTTGATGATGTCGGGTTTTCAAATGGATGACGTGTATCGATCTTGTGCGTTCAACAGTGATCGGATGGTCCTGGTTTTATTTACAGTAGTTATTACTGCATGTCTTGGTTAAGTGGATGAAAAACAGTTGTCCTGTTAGAAGTTAATTACTGTCCTTTGGAAGGCATATGCACCTGCACGTATGTGGATATCACTTTTTCGGTTTTTTCCTCTCCTCTTTTTCCCTTGGACGATTCCCCATGGTGGTCAGCACCGTCATCAAGACTGAAGATGACGAAGATCCTCATGGATGGGTAGTGGCATCAACATCCTTTAGGCCTACTTTGGCAGCAGTCTTCCCCGCGTGGAACCCGGAGATTTCCCTGGGCCAATCTGCCCCGTGCCAATCACCCCCGGGCCAAATCTTCGTGCTCTTTGGCAGCCGACCAACCCGAGGATCGCAGCCCGCTTCCCTTCGTTTTCCACACGGAAGCAATCCACGAGCGATGAGGCCGGGAGGGTTTCCCCGTGCATCCCCTCGGCGAGTCGCGACCGTCCACGCACGCGCAGCTCTTCCTCTGCTCGCGCAGGAGCTGCAAGTCGCAAGGCCACCGCTACGGCATCCGGCTGTTGCCGCCACCCCGGCATCCTGTCGCCACCTCCCCTCCGCCTTCTTGTCGCTTCGGCTCACGCCAATGGTGAGCCCTCCTCAGCCTACATCTCTGTGCCTCCCGCTAGGGTTTAGGGTTTCTTGATCCTCTCTTCTCACAGACTGTTTCTCGTAGATCCTAGGGCCGCTGCCGCCAGATAGTCTACTGCGCACAGCCGTCCGGTTTTGAGGATCCCACCCATCCTGACTTTGTTTGTCGGCTCAACAAGTCATTGTATGGGTTGACACAGGCTCCTCGTTCTTGGTATAGCCGGTTCGCTACATATTTGGTTTCCCTTGGATTTGTTGAAGCCAAGTCAGATACTTCACTATTTGTCTATTGGCGTGGTTCAGATACTGCCTATCTGCTGCTTTATGTTGATGACATCGTCCTTACAGCTTCCTCACCGGGTCTTCTTCGACGGATTATTTCAGCCCTCCAGCAGGAGTTTTCTATGAAGGACCTTGGTGAACTGCATCACTTTCTAGGTATGCATGTTCAGCGTTGTGGCGATGGTCTTCTCTCCCAGCGGCAGTACATGCTGGACATTTTTAATCGAGCTGGGATGGCAGAGTGCAAGCCATGTTCTACTCCGGTTGACACAAATCCAAAGGTCGCTACTGCTGATGGTGCACCTGTGGCTGATGCATCTGACTTTCGCAGTCTTGCTGGTGCCTTACAGTACTTGACGTTCACTCAGCCTGACATCTCATATGCTGTTCAGCAGATTTGTCTACACATGCATGATCCTCGTGAACCTCATCTTGCGGACCTCAAACGGATTCTACGCTACGTCCGAGGCACTCTTCACTTGGGCCTTCTGCTGCAACTATCTACATCTACTGATCTTATGGTCTACACTGATGCTGACTGGGCTGGTTGTCCGGATACACGCAAGTCCACCTCGGGCTATGCCGTGTTTCTCGGTGACAATCTCGTCTCCTGGTCCTCTAAGCGTCAGAACACCATCTCAAGGTCTAGTGCTGAAGCTGAGTATTGCGCAGTGGCTAATGGTGTCGCCGAGGCCGCCTGGCTGCGCCAGCTCCTCCAGGAGCTCCACGCCGCGCTACATTGGTGTATTGTGACAACATCAGCACGGTCTACATGTCCTCCAACCCGGTTCCGCATCAGCGCACTAAGCAGATCGAGATTGATCTCCACTTCGTCCGGGAGCGGGTTGCAATTGGTGACCTTCGTGTCCTTCATGTCCCGACTTCATCTCAATATGCGGACATCTTCATCAAAGGCCTCCCTTCTTCGGTTTTCACGGAGTTCAGGTCCAGTCTGAATGTGCGCAGTGGCTGACGATCAGACTACGGGGGTGTGTTAGAATAGGGCTTATTGGGCCAGCCGCATGGGCCTAGGCGCCCAGGGCTTATATGGTAGTTGATTTGTTATTGGGCATGGATCCACCTGATTGGGTATTGATTATAAACCCTAGGCTAACCTTGCCTATATATTGTACGCCTCCTGTGCTACTCATTAATCAATCTACTATATTCCCGAGCACACTTTCCATCACCAGTGCTGCCGCCGCCCGCCAACCCGACCGTGCCAGCTCGATCTTGAGTTCTCGACCACTGCTCCATGACTGCCCCCGCCTGGCCACCTTGCCTCGTCCCAAGATCTGGTGAGCCCTTCCTCTCTCCTCCTTGTCCTCCCTAGATCAAGCTCCCGCAACTTGGATGTGTAACTTTTACTCATTGGATGTGCTTGTAGTAGCAAACTGAGAATACCATGTTTTGTCTTATTGTTAAAGAACTGCCTTAATCAGCAGTGCCTGCGACTTGGATGTGCTATGCTGAATTTATTTAAGCTGCAGTGCCTTAATCAGCGATGTTGTGCACGCATGAGGTTTATTTAGCATGTGTCAGATAGCAAATTCTCCTGTTTTAATTAGCTCAATAGACTGTGAAGCGTGTTCCAACTTCCAAGTTAGTTCAGCTGCTAACTCTGATGGTCACATGTTTGAGTCAGTCAGTTAGCTCGGAATTTTCATAGTGTGCCTCGCAATCGCAAGGTTTAGTACACAAGATGCTGCTTATTAGAGTTTCTGAAAATTAAAGCCAATGTTTTTTTGTTTGCAGTCCTGGGATCAATTCTGTGCCAAGATTACCAATTCTCTTGCTCAAAAATTTGAATCATGTTCCTGTAGGTCCAGCTCCTAGGGAGTCGTAGATTTCTGGTTTCTTGAACTAGTGTTGTCGCCATTACAATGTGCATTTAAATATTGCAAGGTATGTTCCTTTCTGCATTTAAATATTGCAATTCTTGAACACAACCAATTGACTGGGTGGTATGATATGTTCTACATATTTATTTTTAGATGTAGTTAATTCTTTGAGCTGGTATGCCTCTCATAGTTGAGGATTGATGTGGATCTCGTGCAATATATAGTAGGATAGCAGCAGCTCTATAAAATTCTCATTGTCATGTGCATGGTTGTGTCGGACTGCATGATTATAAAAGCGCCAGTTCAGTTTTGACCAGCTACTGCTAGAATAGATGCAGCTGACAAGAAGTGAAGTGGTAGTGCTACTGAATTGTAGTACTAATTATACTACTGTTATATGTCTCATATTGCTTGTAGATGAAATTTATCCTCCAATTTGGTAATCTGCAAAGTTCCTTAGGGCTCTACAAGTCCACGCTCTACAAGTCCACGCAGTTCTAAGTGCTCTGTTGCTGGAGAGGGATTTCAGTTTTGTGTGTAGGTAGCACTGCTCTGTGCACGGATGCTATCGGTTTGGCACCAACCTTAACAATGCATTATCTTTGCTTTGCTCAGATAAAATGGATATGCCTCACAGCACCTTGAAGACCTGTTTCAGTATTTGGTAGGTTCCCCTCCAGTCCTCCACAGCATTTAAGTTTTATGTTATTATCTACATGTTTCTCCTAGCTTAAGAATGTTATCAAATCCTATCATGACTGATAGCTGTCTTATACGTACATGTAACTAGATGTATTCCCTGAGCGTTGCTGTGGGAATTGGACAATGAAACTTGGGTGGTGGTTAGATGGAAGTAGGAACATTGCTTAAAAAAGTTGTGGAATTGAAATATGTCCAATGTTCAGATGCATTTCGTCTAAACAAAATTACGAAAGAGTTGATTACACCGATTATTAACACATGATATTTTCATATATATACGAAAGAGAAATGGTAATCTGAAATTTCTGAGCTCAAGTTTTGGTAACCTGAAATGTCTAAGCACAGTTGTCCTTTATGGTGTCCTGTTACTGCTGGTATAGTTCAGTAGTCCTACTTCTTCATCCTTTATGTAGTGCGAGAAAGACTTACCCAAAGCTTGGCCTTGACATGCTGCGCCTTGTACATTATTTCAGTTTGCTTTCGTGTGTGTGCTCAGATTTAGGTACTTATGTAGTTATGTTTTCCTATCTGTTACAAAATTTCCCATTTTAATTACCCAATGTTACTGTTCTTTGCGAGATCACATACTGGGATTCTCATGTACGCGTTCTAAAACATAGGCAACTTGCCTTTGCATTCAAACATAATTTTAGGACTGAAACCATTACTTAGTCTGTACTACCTGTTTACCAGATCCAGCTCAGTTCAATACAGCCATATTTTACACCTGGCTACCTAATGCCAAATTATGTAACACTGCACGCTTTGAGCTTAGGAGCATTTTGGACATTGCTAGTAATATTGCTACTGTGTTCGATGCCTATGCAAAATAGGGCACAAGCTATAAGCAACATTTCTATTACTTCCTGGGAACACTATCAACACACACAATCAAGTTTCTGGCATCAATTGACATTGCTAGTGATCAACACAAAATTGCTGAGGACGCACTGGGAGGAGGTGCTCACTGGCGCCGGGGGAGGACGTCGCCAGTGGAAGGC